GGGACCTCAGAGGGCTGCTGCCATCCTCACGGGCTGGAGGACAGTGGGATTGCCAGGGCTGAAGGGACACCACAGCAGGTGTGTAGCATGAACAACTTTGAGCCCAGCCTGGGGACACAGCCCACATCCAGCAGGCTCCACAGACAGCCAGGCTCAGCATCAGAGTCTCTGCCCGCTTGAGGGGGCACTGGAAATGCAGCAGTCTTCTCAAGGCCACAGCCTGGGGTCTGGCCCTCCTCCCGCATAGCTGCTGAGCACAAGCTCATTCCAGCTGCCCTTGTTGGCAGCACAGGGACTACATGACAGAGACCCTGGGCAAGAAAAGGACCAGAGCAAGAACACGGTCTCCCTTCCAGGGCCCCACGTCAGAGGTAAACGAACCCGCAGCAGAGGACCCAGCACAGGCAGCTACTGCCTTCCCTCAGCTGCCCCAAAACAGCACCCCAAGAAGTCATCCATGAGCATCTACCTGCCGGTCCCTGCTGCGTCCTGGGACACACAGTGTCCCCTCTGAATGCTGCGGACTCCTCTCTCCCCAGTCTGGGGGAGAGGACAGAGGTGTCCACCTGAGCAGCAGGACACTCTGTGACCACCAACTCATTTCTACCTAACACGTGGCCTCTTTGTGGCTTCCGACAGTCATAAACACCAAGACGTGGATGTATCCCAGGACAACCTGCCAGAGATTGACTCTCCTCGTCCAGTGAAACTGGACTCTGAGGACACAAGTGGGTCTGCCTTGCAGCTCGGGGCTCTTGAATCCTGAGAAGCCGCCAGGGCGGGGCTAGCCAGGCATGCGGCTCCCTGAGCATGGCCTCCCATGTGGGCCTGGGCTGCTGTGGCACTGAGGCTGGAGCCAGTAGCTGCCCCTGCCTGGCCTGCTGTGGTGAGCTTGGCCACGACTGGGTTCTCCACGTGCCTCCTGCCACCTTCCTCCCCAATACTGGGAGCTGGGGGATGCGGGGCCTGTATCACAGGAATCTCCTTCCCCTCCTGGGTCTGGGCAGTCTGCAGGGACCAGAGGTGTGCTCAGGAGGTGAGCGCAGCCAATGTCCCCTGGGCATCATGCCAGTTTTCAAGAGTTTGCAACACCATAGGCCTCTCCCAGACACTAATTTGAGAGCAAAACGGCTTGGGCGACAAGCAGACTGATGGGTCCCTGCGGTGCAGGTCTCTCAACTGAGACCCTTGCCTGTTCACACTGGCCTTGCAGTCCTGGGCAGGACTGGGACCCGACAGGAGGGCCCCGTGGCCCAGCTGTGGCTGTGGCTGTGCTGCAGACTCGGCACTGAGTGAGCCGCTCACGGCAGGTGTCACGAGTATGTCACTGATGTCTCGTGCTAGTGGCTACTATATATGGGTTTGGGGGGAGAAATATCTATTCAGATCCTTTGCAGTTTTTAATTGGGTTATTTGTCATCTGATTATTGTTGTATGACTTCTTTCTTTATGTATTCTGGTTACAGATCCCTTATCAGGTATATGATTTGCAAAAACTGTCTTCATTCTGTGAGTCTATTCACTTTCTAGATGACACCATTTGAAGCACAAAATTCTTTATTTTGGTCATGTTCAATTTATCTATTTTTTTCTCTTGTCCCTGTTGCTTTTGGTGGCTTCTCTGAGGTGCTTCTGCCAAATCCAAGGTTCCAATGATTTACCTTGTTTTCTTCTAAGGGTCTCACAGTTTTACCGCTCAACACTGATGTCTTGGATCCATTTTGAATTAACTTCTTCATAAGGTAAGAGGCAGGGTCCCCCCCGCCCCGCCCCTTCGCACGTGGTATCAGCTGTCCCAGCACCTCTGGTTGAGAGGGCTGCTCTTTCCACCAATGGTCTTGGTAACCTCGCTGGAAACCGGCTGACTGTGAGGTCTGTTTCTAGACGCGGCTCCTCACCCTTCTGGATCTTACCTCCTCATGAAAACGAACCCCATCACCATCTAGAGTTGTGGCTGTCCACACTCAGACCAGCCCCAAACATGTATCCCTGCTCAAAACACCCCCAGCAGGGTCCCTGGAGGCCAAACCTGGGACATGTATGCTTCCCACATGCATCCCCATGCGAGAATGGGGAAAGGTGTGGCTCCCTGAGTGGGTACAACAGGTGTCAGGTTGAAAGGCCAGGCATGCATTCACCTAGAAGGCCAGTGGGGTCACTGGGAGGTGACTCTGGTCATCACATTAGTCAGGAGGGGCCTGGCAGGACCCTGAAAGAAGAGAACCCTGCCAGGAAAGGGCCCTGCCTTCCCCGCCAGCCTCTGGCCCCACCTGACCACCCAGGCTGCCCTCCACTTCCTGGTGGCTTTGGCCCTCACCCTGGGTCTATGCAGTGCCCTGACCCCCGCCCACCCTCCCCAGGGCTTCTTATTACCCTTCATCCCAACACTGGCCCCAGGGCATGAGGCAGCTCTGCTCACAAATGCCCTTCCCTCCACCGGGTATTTACTTTAATTTCCTTCTAAAGGAGTTTCATGAGAGCTGAGCTTATGAGAGAAACCCCCTCTGGAGCCAGAAGACACTGGCTCCATGGGACCAAGGCCTGGCAGGGACACTTATCTGCGGTGTGCCGGGCAAGAGCTGGCCAGCAGATACACTTGGAGATGGGGTCTCGGTTTTTACAGGAGCTGTGACCGTGTCAGGACCATGGCAGATGTGAGTTTCTGCTGATGGGTCAATGGGAGCTCTGAACCTTTATACAAACGGCTAGTACAAGCTCAGGTTAGGGTGCTACCCACCTGCTGCCCACGGCCAGGGTGGCCCCAAGGCGAGGTTGGCTGTGGGTATTGGTGTGTGAGGGTGAGGAGCCCGGTGGGGAGTGGCTTGTTCCTGAACCATTCTCCCTGTAAGTGGAAGCGGCTGCCACACAGGTGCGCCGGCTCTTAGCGCTGACACTGACAGGCTGGAGAAGGTTGGCCCAGAAATACTTCAGCTCAGGGACAAAACAAGGAAGCTGGAGCCTCACCACCAGCCCCTCCTGTCACAAAAAGCAGCTTCTACGGTGAGCTCCTCTACCTATCTCAATACCCTACTTAAATGCTCCCTGTGGGTGCACCCTTGCAAGGGTACTTTACAGGAAGGAGGCCCGTGCTCCAGGCCCCCGTCGTAACCCCAGTACCTACAGCGCTGTGTGGCTCCATGGCTCAGGGCATTTTGAGAGCTGATGTTCCTCTGCACCTCCCGGCAGCTGTGGGTGACCTCAGCACACTTTACTTCCACACACGAACCAGTGAGCAAACGTATGGGGAACCCAATTAACAAACACACGGACAGTGGCAAGTCTGCCTAGGATCCCGGGCACCTACATTCACTGAGCATGGTAGGGTCAGCCTGACACATCCCAATTTAAACACTGTTTACATTAAATCCCAGCCCAACTGGGAGAACAAGTTTTCTCTTTAGCAAACACAATCCACATGCGAGGAAACTTATTATGCACCAGAGCAAGAAAACAGAAAAGCAAAAATTAAATTAGATGGCAGCTTGGAAAATGCCCACTGCGCAGAAAAAGCAAGCTAACAAATTTGGCCTCCCCTGAAAACAGCGGTGAGGTTTTAATTTGGGTCTCTGGGACCCGGCTCCTGCGGCACCGGGAGGCTCCTGGGTTGCGGGAAGTGGATGTGGTTTCAGATGAGCAGACCCAGATTTAATTAGTAATCAACTCTGACCCCCGCTCTTCCCACAGGCAGGCAGAGGAAATATGAAGAGAGGACGGGACTGGGGCTGCCAGCTCCTTGCAGAGCCAGGGAGCCTCTCCCTCCTCCCAGTCCTGGGAAGAATCAATCAACGTCACCCAGGAAGGCACGCTTGCCACCGCGTGTGAGCCCGCTCCAATTACGGAGAGTGGAGAGGGCGGACGTGGCCAGAATTAATCCAGCTCCTGGGAGCCAAGATGGCCCTGGTCGAGTGCACCCAGGAATTGGGCGGGATGCAGGCCTGGGCCATGCTGCTGTCTCCAGTAACTATGCTCCTGGTGTGATGGGGTGCCTGAGCTGGATGTGGATTTCCAGATGTTTGTAACAAGGACACACACTTTTCAGGTCATCGAAACCCACCAGAGGCTTCACGATTGCTGTGCTTACCCTGAGCCCCACCAGCAGCTCAGCCTTGTTCCCATGGTCCCCTAAGTGCCAACAACGTGCCCACACAGCCCCCTTGAGAAGGGGGACACACCACACTCGGGGTCCCCCTTCTCAAGGGGGCCCACTGGGCCTGGCCAGTTGACTGGCCCAGCTCTCCCTGGTCAGGGCTGAGCACTCCCACACAATGTGTGCCAGTGGGAGCCCCCTACAGGTAGACAGTCTCACAGATGCCACGATAACACCTAGGAACACCCCATACAGGACACTGGTGGTGACGGTCCCCCAAGGTGCTGCCCCAAGGCCTTCTCAGGGTGTCAGCTGAGCAAGGATGGAAACTCGGGCATCTCCTCAGCAGCCTGATTCCTAGAGCATCCTCAGGGCAGCACCAGTCAGCAGGACAGCTGTCCCACATGCCGAGGGCCCCTGAAGAGCCGGGGCTGCTGACCCTAACCTGGGCCAGAAAGCACATGTTGGATCGTGGAACTGAGGCCAGGGTCCTCGGGTTGCTACAGCTGCCCCTCCATCCTCTTCCCCTACCCCTCCACTATCTGCTCCTCCATCATCCTCTCCTCCCCTTCCACTGTCCCTCCATCCCCCTCCACTGTCCACCCCTTCAGCATCCTACCCTCTCCTTCCCTACAGCAGCACCAAAGGGCCCAGCCTCTGGACAGGAAGCCCCACCCATGGGCAAGCATGGCAAGGCCCACATCTGGGCACAACTGATGACTTCAGACCCCTGTCTCTCAAAGAACCACCAGCCACAAGCCAAAACAGTCTATCATCAAGTGCACAAGCCAACATTGCCTGGAACAATCACACTTGTGTGCCAGCCAAGGACAGAGAGGCCCAGAAGGGGACTGACCCGGGACCTGCCCCAAGGCCTGGGGGAATCCTCAGGAAAGGGGCCGTAGGCTCCTACCGTCCACACAGGCGGGCCGCGCTCTCGTGGTGCCAGCGATCTGCCCTTTCCTGCATGCACAGCGAGCCGTCTGCCGGGCGATCGTCCTCCGGGGCTGGCTGCTATCCCGGTCCAGGGTCACAATCTCACAGGTGCCGGCGGCCAGCTGACCTGAAAGGGAGGAGCAGATGCAGACTGAGTGGCCACAGCCTGGGGACCAGCAGCCGGCCCAGCCCCACATTGGAGGCCACCAGAACCCACCACAAGGGTCCCAGCGGGCAGGGAGGCCCTTGTGCTCAGAGGGAGTATGAGCAGCCACCTGCAAGGATGCTGTCAGGACATGCAGGGAAGGCAGAGTCCGTCTGGCCGACACTCTCTGCGCTGACCCTGCCTGCCTTCAAGGCAGCCCTGCCTCACAGACAGGAAATTAAACGCGGCCCCATCTCACTCATTCCCGGGAATGAAAGGGACAGGGCTTGGAGGGAGGAGCTGCTGCCCCATCCATGCATTCAAGAGCTTGATGAGACAACTGGGACTGCACAGAGCCCAGCATTCGGGAACCAAGCTGATCCCTTGTCTCTGTCCCCGTTGCCAGCATGTCGGCCCAAGAGCTTAGCAGCTTGGAGCTGGAAAGCACATCGGACCAAGGGCCAGGGGGATGTCACCACCCCACCTTGGCACTGGGGGCAGGGGCTGCTGCATCAGTGTCCGGGCTTAGTTTTCTGACCCTGCCACAGCCTGGCATACACTCCCACGTGTGCACACACATGTACATGGGATTAACACAGCCACACACAAGACACCAATGTGCACATACCAAGAACCTGGGAGGCACACAGGCCTGGCCCACACCCCGTGTGAACACACTAAGGCCACCCAGTGCCTCAGTCACACAGACACAACCTTCATGGCTGTGCCTGTGCAGACACCCAGGTACACACAGCCATACCCAGGTGGACCTGCTCCTACAGGTGAATGACGTGACCCCCTCCCCACCTCCTGGGTCAGACACCCCACGGCACAGGAAGGAGGTGGGGAGGGCTGTGTGGCCCACGTCTGGCTCTGTGCCAGGTCAGGGCACAGAGATGGGACACGTTTCTTCCTAAGACACCAACTCAAATTGTCTCACAGGATTCCATGCCCACCTCCTCCCTACATCCTAGGGAGAAGGGGCCTCTCTAGGGCCTGATAGGGCAGTGTCTCAGGACAGGGAAGGGAATCGTCAGGAAGTTCCACTGTGCAAATAAACCCCTTTAAGATGTCACTCTGCCTGTAAAATGTAGCATGGCTACTGCCCGAAATATTAACCCTGACAAATGAAGACAGTGGCATTCTCAACAGTGGCAGTGAAGACGCAGAGCTGGCCAGTGAGTGGGAGGACAGAGGTCAGCCCTCAGCTGCCTGCGGTGTGTCCTGAGTGGACAGCGCAAGGTGCCCTCAGTTGGCTCCACCTGGGCACCAGGAAGGCAGCCAGTGCTCCCTGTCCGACTCCATGCCTGCCCAAGCTGTAGGAGACCTCAGCTTCCCTAAAGTGGACCCGGAACACACAGCCACCCAGGAGGACTCGGCAAGGACCCCTGTCCCACTTAGATCCTGGTGGTAATGCTGAGTGGAGCTACCATTTGCCATGAAGTCCAGCAAATGGCACAGGGCAGGGGCCCTTGTGCGGGGCCTCTTGGTGCTTGGCATGGAAATTGTCAAGTGCCAGTGCCCACTGATCTGTCATTTGACCACTGAGACTTGGTCCTAAGGAATGGGGATAAACAAGAGGTGACAGCAACCAGGACGTTAGACCGAGTGCCGTAGTGACCACCTGGGAATGGCGGTCTGCAGCCTTGGGTAGAGGGCTCTTGGCTGTTCAGTGTCCTGTCGTGGGCTGTTTCCTGTGCCCTGTGACAACCCTTTCCACACTGATGTGGGCTTTTAACTCAGGACACGACGCACCCCTCGCACCACGTCCATGGCACGGCCCCATCAGTCAGGCAGGACTCACTTCACCTGCGGATCCCAGGGTGGGTGGTCCCCACGGCCTCCAACTCCATGCTTGGCACTGATTTCCAGCTGTCACCCAGTGAGGAATGTGACGAGTGAGGTTGGGAGGAGGAGGTAGAGAGAAGCAATAGGCAAGCCTATGGGACTGCGCTGGCCGCTCCTGCATGGACAATGATGGTGTGTGGATGGCAGGGCGGGTTGTGGGCTCTGCACAAGTGCACGTGCAGCCCACAGGCTGACACTCACGCACACTGCAGGCAGCAAGGATGGGTGTGTTGCTCTTTAGAGCAGTAGCTGCCAAGGCAGAGTGGGTAGGGGTGCCCGTGACCACGCAGGCAAAGGCACTCTGCCCGTGACACCGAGTCAGGCATGGCAATGAGATTGCTATTACCACTGTTTCCATCACAGGCAAAACCAACCAGCTAGTCCAGGCCAAGGCCAAGAGGCAAGGCAGGAGGGGAGCAGAGAGCTGGGTGTGGGCAGTGAGGATGGCCCCTGAGCTTGGGTTCCCAGCAGCAGGCCCTTAGCCTTGGCCTGTCTGGGACACACGTGCAGTGCACACAGGGGCACACACATGCCCACACTGTGCACAGACAGGCACTGCTCTGTGCCCACGGCATCTGGAGGTGCACATGGTATACACACCCAGGGCTGCCTCTGTGCAGGGGTCTCTGTGGTCCAGCAAAGCTGGTGTGTGGCAGGACCTTCGCCAGAGATCCTCGGAATTACCTTTAAGTGACACAAAGGCTTGTCACCTGCACACATCTTTGCTCCAACTCCCCTGGGGTCCCCAGCTGGGGCCCCTCGGAGCTGACCAGCACACCTCATGCTGACAGCACAGCTCTGCTTGCTCTGTTTAGCCCACATCACAGGGCAGGGGCTAGGAAGGGGCCAGAGCCTGGGCGTCTACCCCTAGGATGCCCCAGCAGGCTTAGCACCGTCCTGCCCTGGGTGTCCTCCAGGGCATGGCCACCTGACCTGTTACTCCTATACGTGACCTCAGTCAGGGCACCAGCCCAAGCCCACGCTACCCTGCTCTCACGCAGGCTTCAAGGCCAGCTCTGTCCACTCTGGGTGGGCCTGGCCAGGGTCTGGGGTACAGAGGCAGTTGAGTGCTACTAGAGAGCGGGAGGCGACATCGGATCAGAACACTAACATCACCGTGCCCGTCCTCTCTCTACGGAAGACACTGCTTTCACAGGGAACCTGTCCACACACAGCTCTGCCCCGTGCTCCAAGGCAAGTAACTCAAGTCTGGTTTTGTCCCTGACCCTACAGGCGTTTAGTACAAGGATTAAAAACACAGGAGGTGCGCTCATTACGATACAGTATTATAGCCTCAGCACCCAAGTAACAGTGAAATTGGGTTGCTGTTGAAATCCGAGCATCAAACCCTCCAGCACAGTCCAACCTCAGCACAGGCAGCTAAATGCGTCATTCCTGAAGCCTAATTCTCCTGGGGCAGGGCCACAGAGGACATCTGTGCATGGCCACGAGGCCAGGTAAAGATATTAACCATTTCAGGCACATGGCCCGGCCCAGGCTGCCCAGCTAGACACATAGAGGACGTGACCTTGGCACTCCACCCCCTCCTGGAGGGAGCACTCGTGGGCTCCGGTCACATGCTAGCCCTGGGCAGGCTTGTGCCTTCTTGGAGGCTCCTGTTCAGGAGAGAAGAATGTGCCAGCCATCGCCCTGGCCAGAAAGATAGGGACTTGGTGGGAATAGCAGGGCAGGGCTATAATGCTGCTCCACCCGAGGGGAGGACATGCCTCAGGAACCGAGGCATGAAGGGAAAGGAGTCCCAGCCTCAGAACTGCTCCCCAGGGCAGGGGCCAGCACTGGCTGCAGTAATGTCCACAAACAGGGATACTTATAGGCCAAGGGGACTTCCAGGAACCCCAACCCAGGCAGAGCCGGTAAGAGCAGAGTGAAGCCTCCCTCTGAGCCTCACGTCTGTACAAATGACACCTTGTTGCCGAGTGATCACCCCAACATGCTTCAGCTTGACCCAGACCATTGGAGGCCCCTCCTTGGAGGCAAAGGGCAGTGCAAGACCTCAGTGCCACCATGGGGCCTCTGCCAGGGAGCGTCTCTCTCTATGCACCCCAGGGTGACCCCTGCCCTTCCGAGGAGGCTGATCTCCAAGTGCCATCTCGTTAATCTAGACACGTGTGGGAGAACAGGACGATAATAGTAAAAACCTGTTAGCAATTGTGATCACGGCCATGGACTGGGCTGCTTAAGGCCCACCAGAACCAAAGTCAGAACTCCCTCCACAGGCTCCCCGGAGGCGACACCGTGGTCCCCAGCCCCTTCCTTCCCACCTGGCCTCCAGTCCCCTGAGCAAGACCAGGAACACAACTGCAGACACGGGACCCAACTACTGGGGTCCCAGGAGTCACAGGGCCTCTGAGGGCGCCAGAGGGTGAGGGGCCTGCAGAGGACAGGACAGGGACAGGAGGGTGGTGGGCTCTGAAGTGAGGGGGGAGGGAGGTGGGTAACCCCAGCCTGCAGGAGCAGCCATGCCCATACCCAGCCTCGCTTACTGGAACTCCCGGGCACATGTGGCCAGAACAGCAGGACAGTGTATCTGTGTCACGCAAACCCTACTCGTGTGCTCACCTGCCTCAGCAGCCACACAAAGCTTCCCAGGGTAGTGGCCAGGCCACCATCACAAGATTCCCCCAGGAGATGTCCAGGGACTTCCCAGTGCTATCACACTGGCTCTCCCAGGTGGAAGGGCCTGGCTCGGGGTAGGGAGACTGCCCCTTGGAGAGGCTCCGGAGGGCTGGGTGAACACAGGATAGGGGCCTGGGCAGGAGGTGGGGGCACTGAGCCTGTGCCCCCACCACATAAAGCCTCACTCTTCACCGCCCATGGAGGACCATGGCTGGGCCACACATGTGGACACTCAGGCTGCTTCTGACCCCCAGGGTGGGAGAGGACCTTCGAGAAGGCAGATCAGACTCCATGTTATCACAGGACGGGCTCAGTGACCATGTGGTAAACGGACACATGTCCACTGGCCCCACTAAGCCTCGCTGCCCCCCCATAAGGCTCTCTGACCCCCTGTAAGCCTCTCTGGCCCCCTAAGCCTCACTGGCCCCATAAGCCTCGTTGGCCCCGTAAGCCTCGCTGGCCCCGTAAGCCTCGCTGGCCCCAGGAGGCAGGAAAGC